GGACAGGACACCAGCCCATCACAGGACTCACAGACACACACCCCCTCTGGTCAGGACACCAGCCCATCACAGGAACACTCGCAGACACACACCCCCTCTGGACAGGACACCAGCCCATCAAAGGACACTCACAGACACACACCCCCAGGACAGGACACCAGCCCATCACAGGACACTCACAGACACACACCCCCAGGACAGGACACCAGCCCATCACAGGACACTCGCAGACGCACACCCCCAGGACAGGACACCAGTCCATCACAGGACACTCACAGACACACACCCCCTCTGGACAGGACACCAGCCCATCACAGGACACTCACAAACACAGACCAGTAAGTCTTTGGACTGTGGGAGGAAACTGGAGCACCAGGAAGAAATCCACCTGAACACGTGGAGAACATGCAAACTCCACACAGACATCACCCCAGGAACTGAACCCAGGCCCCAGTGCTGGAAGGTAGCAATGCTCACCACGACGCTGCCATAATATTGCTCAAGTTTTATACTATAAAAAATAAGTAGGTAAATATTTGGAGAGTCTCATAGCTACCAAATCAGCCTTTATAACCCATCCAATATATTTATCTTCCAGTCAGGTGTCAGCGTCCTTTCTGGCTTTTCTTTTTTCAGGTGGGTGATAAAAGTTGTAGGTTTTGGTTCATTAAAATTGATTTTTTTTTTTTAAGTGCACAAAGTCGTGGCGAGGATCTCATCACGTCCTGGGTGGTAACAACTAGATCTCGAGTTTACACGGCAAACAGGACAGAACTCCGGAATCTCATTTCATTCCCGGCCGCTTTCCGACGAACCCCAGAACAACAGGCAGGACAGGCGGGACACTGGGAGACAGGGTCGGGTCTTACAGCTGAACCCCCCCACCAAGTACGGGACTGATCGAAACTGGCAGAAGTCGAAACGCCACCACTTCGGGACCGAACACGCTCCGTTTCGCGAGCAGAAAGAGAGAGCTCGCTTACTTTGCTCACGATTCAGAAGAAAGTCCACAAGGAGACGCCGAAAATGACGCCGCTGGTCTGGGGCTCGTCTAGTCCGACATCGTGAGAACTTCGGCTACAGACAGTGCGTCCTGTGCCGTGCCTGACCGGTCCCGAGTGCGTGATCGTGCCTGAACCTTGTCCTGAGCGCCGCAGGCTTGTATGCAGTCGGATCCGTGACCGAGAGAAACGAGGGCTGGCTACGACATCGCGCCGTGTGAACTTCACACGCTCCTGGTCTGCCCGGTTTGTTTACTTGTTGCGAGCAGGACGTTTCGTGACGGAGGACCAGGGGTCGCCGGGGTCTGACAGTTTCAGCTGCGTCTGAGGCTGTGTAGGTGCTTCACGGGAAGCTGACGGTGAATATTAATTTCGCGAAACGTACCTAAGACACCCCCTCTCCCTTCCTCTTCCTCCTCCTCCTCCTCCTCCTCACTCTGCCAAGTTTCCCACGTCCTCCCGGCCACGCACGCACACGTAAAGCAGGATAAAGCCCTCTGGTAGCCGTCCATTAAGCGGAATAAAACACAGCCGAAATCCCGGAGCCGCGACAGAAATGACTAAGGCGAGGATTGGACACAGTCCGCTGTCAGCTTGTTCCGGGAGCCCACCGGTTTAACGTCATCAAAGCGAGCAAGAGCTGGACACAACAACAACAACAACAACAAAAGAAGAAGAAAAAACCCTGCCGGCTTTCAGGAAAGAGGAGAGGAGGACGACAGGCAGCCCAGCTCCTTACCTGCCCCACTGGCAGAGTCGGCAGCGCAGGCGGCTGGTCGGGACATCTTGCAATCAGGTGCCTCCGGGCGGAAACAGGAAGGAGAGGATGGGAACACGCCGAGCAGGGCCCACTTTACTTGGCGGGGGGGAAGGGGGGAGAGAAATAAAACGACACACAGCGGGCGCGCACACACACACTGCTGGGAACTTAAAGAAAAAAAAAAGTGCTGTTGCCTGGGCGAAGTGACGTCACGCAGGCAGGCAGGCCGAGCGAGCGAGCGAGTCACATGCCTGAGCCCCGCGCGCGCGCGCCGGCTTCGCCCCAGCTGTGCGTGCGCGTGCGCGGAGGGAGGGGGGGGGTTTCCGCGGCGGCGCGGGCACGCGCGGCGGCAGCATTTTCTCTCTCTCGCTCGCTCGCTCTCGCGCGCGCTGCTGCCGAGGCTGCGAGCCACCGCGGCACGTGCGCAGGGACCATAAGGCCCGCGCCTCGATGCTACATCGAGTTTCTGTCTTAATGGGAATGAAAAACCAAACACAAAAGATGTCGTTTTCGTGGAATCACCTTTTTACACGGCCTGGGGGGTCATTAACATGAACACCACAACACCTTTATTTCTACATTTGTATCGGAGACAGGCTAAATAATAGTAATATTCGTGTACATCTGACTTTTAAGGATATTGTTCTTGGTGTTCTGAATTCAGACGTATAATGTTAAATATCATTCTCATGTTGGCAGAATTTGACATACGTGTAGAGTGAAACACCTATGTGATTTAAATAATTTGTATACTCATTTAAGCTATACAGTACACTATACCCATTAAAAATATGTTAAAATATGCTTGGCGAGTTGGTTTACAAAAAGGATATAGCGTATAAACGTATTTAATGTGACACCTAACACCACACAGCTTCCGTGCTATTGATAAAGTTCTGAGATGTTTTTCTGTTTCGTTCACTTGATGTTACCTTTGCTCTGTCATGTTGTAACATCTGTATGTCTATACCCTTGTTGCATTTTTCTTTTTTTGGAAATATAAGATGTAAAAAGTAAGGGAGACCGACACCCAGGGGAGTCGGAGCCTGTAGTGCCTTAACATCACTATGCTGGTGTCGGGATATCCGCGGGTCCGGCGACACGGGAGTCCGATTCCAGACACTGCGATAGGAAGATAGGATTTTTAGGTCCATCCGTTTGTAGGTGAAAAATAATAAATCTGTAACTTTTTATATAAATATGCGACTCCAGAGAGTTACGTCTTCTATGCTAAACCTTACACAGGACTATTTGCATCCACAAATTCAACATATACATGTTTCTCCGAACGTTTCAAATTGGGTGAACTTTTCATAACCGCAGAAACAGATTTTTACAACACTAGAAAGCAGGAAAAGAAGTCACACACGATTAATAACTATATTTCACGTGCCAGACCTCTTTGAAATGACAGCTCTCGAAGGTCCGGATCGTGTGACGCCGGAGTATATTTACAATCGTCGCTGTGCGCTTTATCATTGGAAACCCCGTTAAATATTTTTGACGCGATTTTAATATCCGTTTACGTGCATCGGAGGACATGAAGCCCTTTCCATCGTTTGCGAGACGAAACAGCAATGCACTGTTCTTGACAGTAACCTTTCAAACACAACGCTCGTTTTTAAACTCGATTTAGCCAAGCTAAATAATTCGTCTAATAATTTACGAAACACGTTGATTTACGATGCATTGACGCCGACTTTTAAAAAAAACTAGAATATTTTTCATGTTTAAATGAAGCATCTGATTTGAAATCTTATCATTCGGTGACCCAGGTCTGCTTTTCGACGCGATTTCCAGACCTGCCGTGGGTCTTATCTCGCCTCTTTGGGATACCGGGCAGTTTGTCTCAGCGGGGATAAACACGGGTGACGTGGGATTCGCTCCTTCTGTTTCTGACCGTGCGATCAAGGTCAGCGGTGCTCCATCATGGCGCCTCGGGACGAAGCTGACATTCTCGATGGGCTGCTCGGCATCTGGGCCGTCTGAACTCCTGCAGGGGGCAGGGTGGACACTGCAAATTCACGCAGCGTGGAAATCGTACGCGAACACAAAGAGACCAGAAAATCACCCTGCCTCTAAATAGCACGAATCTGTTG